AAAAGAGCTTCGGCATTGAGATCCGAGTAAACTTGAGTGCTACCAATAAAATTCTTGGTCATGCATAGATTAATTGATTTACCATATCTGGCTCATCAATCTGCATTGCATTAGAACCTTCCTACTTGACAACTGATTTAGTCGCCGTCAGGATTTTTGTTCTATCTTCGTCGGTTAGCTGGTTATGCCACCAGCTCCTTAGGTTTCCAGAGAGACTCGAGATAAGGATTTGGGCTGTCTGTAAAACCGGCTTCTTGGTGCTGAAAGCAGTGGCTGCCATCATCATCTCTTGAAAAGTATTCATCATTTGAGCTTCAGAATATCCATCGATATTCCAAGTGATTATGGAAGATCCGTCATAAGTCATTTGATCATGGCGGAGATCGTCTCATCCCATATCCGGAGGAGATGGTTTAGGATAATGGTTCTTTACTTCCGTGTGCATGGTGACCGGAAGTATTGTTGAGGAAAAGGCCTGGGTTGCAGTTGGTACAGTAGCAACTACATTTATACTCTTGGCTACCTCATTCTTTTGAGAAGAATCTCCCTTATTGAGGGACAAGGAAGAAAGTCTTCTGTTGATCTCAGCAAAAAGATCTGAGGGGTCTTCTTTGAGAGGTCCAATCTTAAAACTGTTTGGTTGAAAGATTGGTTGGCAGGGGTCTACTGGAGGGATCCCTGGGATTTTGGATATGGTAGGAAGAACTGGATTCTCAATTCTTTCTACAGCTTTAGATACTTCGGAAAGGATCTTGTTTGAGTAGTTGAGTTGATGTTGGATGTTCTTAATCTCTCGAACACCAACTTTCTGGACTTTGTCTTCATCTATTGTCTTATAGGGTGAAGACATCATCTTTATGGCAGGTATCACTGGGTGAGAGAAGGTAGCTTCTTCTTCCGGTGGGAAGGTGGAAGCTATTTCTTTGCCTCTTGCAGTAACCCAAACAGTGCCCTTTTTTATGACTGCTACCTGTCCATCGGCCTGGAGCTTTTTGACTAGATCTTCGTTCCTAACCAGCTCTCGTTCTTGTATCTTTGAAGTGAAATCGCCAATAGTCATGACGGGTTTCCTTGTTTCTTTTGGTGCAGCAATCCACATATCGATGTATTTGCTGTATAGTTCTTCATAACGTTTCTCAGGTTTTGAGATCACGTTTATTTGATTGAAGGCGGATTCAGTTCTCCTTTCCATGTCGGATTGAGTTGGAGAGAGTGATCCTTCTTCATAATGAACGTCAGAGATCGGATGAGTGAAATCTACTGACGCTCGCATGGATTCAGATCTTTTAAAAGATCTATTAATAGTGCTTACCGACCTAGCATCTGAAGATACGCTTGGACGGCTGCTCATGACTTCTCTAATTCTGGGATATCTTGCCTCAGAATTGAATTGAACTTCGACATTTCCATCTGGAAATTCGGTGATTGATGCCTCCGTATTAATCCTTCTGGCGGGGGCTGATACTCCTTGAAGTCTCCAGATAGTGTTTCTAGAGATTTCATCCCATCGAAGTGTCTTCGGAATGGTCATCGAAGATTTTTCGAGATTGACTTCCATTAGCATGGTGTAACCTTTTGGAGAGACACCAAGTGCTTTTGGAGAGAGGTTGGTATGCATCAATTTGTAATAGATGCGATAAGAAACAGCAAACGGGAGAGATCTGTCTTTGAGCTCCAATCCTTCAGAATGAACATCTAGACATAGGACGTCCATAATGTTTTTATCTTTAAGGGAGACGGTAAGACCGGATTTGTAGTTGAAATAAACTGGTCCTTGTACCAGATTTGATTCGACGATCCTCAGAAGAGAGGGAGTGAAGTTGAGATGTCTCTTATCTCGAAGGGCGAGATAAACGGGGACATCTAAGCCTTCTCTGAAAAGAGGCTTCAAAGCCACTTGAACGCATCCAATATGGAGGTATTTGAATTTGTTCCTGACTCTGAAGAGGGTTTCTTCAGGGAGAAGGGTGATCTCTGTGAATTCATCCTTCATGGCCATGTTCTCCTCAATGATGATGATAACATCCTGCTGGGAGAAGTTGAAGGTATTTATTTTGTATACCTGATTTGGATCTATCTTGGGGATAGACCAATTTTTGAGACGATCTTCAACCTCAGCCAGATGGGCTTCAGCTGAATTATGTTGAGCTAAAATCTTTGAAAAATCATTTTCAGATTTTTGTTTGTTGGAGGAAGAAGAGGAGGAGGAGGCTGTGTCGACGATTGACTGAGAATGAGGGGAGATTTTAGAGAGGAGCTTAGACAGCATAGAGGAGGGGAAGAGAGAATCTGGAGATATCTAGGAGATGAAAATAAAATCTTTCTAAGCTCATAATCTTTTATTTTGATAATAATCTATCTCTTAATTAAATCGAATTCTTCGATCAATCAATCTATATTCAAACATCTTCATATTTCCTAACTAGAAATTCTCAATCATGAAGGTTAACCACGCCTTTATCATGATATCTTGAGAATGGATAGCTAGAATTTATCAAGAGTTTGAACAAGAGAGATACCCGAATCAGATTTATTTAGTAGATAGGTTAAAAATCAAAAGAAAAGAAAGACAATCTTAGAAAATTTTATCAATGAAAATAAGATGAATTGACTTTAATTATTAATAAAATTATAAACTGTATAGACATAAATGAACAAACTAGTACATTAAAATTTGTCAATATTTACTTAGTATATATTATTTAGAGAAAAATTCAATTTTTACCCTCAATTCTCCGGAACTCTCTAATTCCATTGGAAATCAAATCTTAACAACAAATAAATACACAAAATTAAGACCAAGTGTTGAATGAGAAATTTCGGCTGATTATTAAATTTCACATCACAAAATTAAAATGACATTTATGACCAATGATAAAATTACACGTGTCCTAAATTAATTTTAAAATCGACGAATCAAATTATGTCACGTGTCTCTCCTATGGTTGTCTAATGAAATCAACTAATTGGATCAAAACCCATGAAAGACTGGATCCAAGCCCATGGTCAATTGGAGATTCAGAGCCTCAAAGCTTTCAGAATCATCTACAATCATTTAGAGTCAAACGAATCATCTAGAGCCGACAAGACTTGAAGACTATAAGACTTCAAGAACACTAAATCTTCTCTTCGTCAAGCAACCAACTAAAGAACTCTCCACCAAGCAACAAAACTTTTGAAGCCGAAGACTCCATCCAACTGCAAATTCTTCATCAAGCTTCAAAGCCGAAGAACTGCACAAGCTACAAGTCGAAGGATTTCAACAAGCTGCAAAGCCGAAGAACAAGTCGAAGGACTTAAACAAGCTGCAAAGCCGAAGAACTTCAATAAGCTGCAAAGTCAAAGAACTTTAAAAGCACAAAGCCAAAGACTTCACAAAGTCTTGATCAAGCTACAAGCCAAAGAACTCCATCAACAAGTCAAAGTCTTCAACAAACTCAAGGTTGAAGACTTCAAAGACCCTTCGATAAGCGAGAAGCTGAAGGCACCAACGTCATTTATTCACCAAACTCACACGCCCTTAAATTAAAGTTTACATTTGATAGAATTAATGATTATATATTATAGATTATAACACGTACATGCATAAATACAATACAAGTTCATAAATCCGAGTTTTCTTTTCGTTGAATTTCTCGTCGAACACCAAGCAAATAAACACACAAGGGATAAACCTCCCAAAACTCAAGTTTCAACAAAAATACAACAATAGTGTTGTCTTTTTCTCTTAAAAGACCATCAATTTTATACCAAACATCTATTTTAGCACTTTGGTAATCCGTGAAGGCACGTCAAAATATTCGTTTAACGAATTTTCAAACAAAAGCCTCTAGTAGAAAAAAAGGAAAAATACACTTAACAAAGTGATCTAATGTGTAATTTAATGAAATTGAAACTTTATAGTAAGATTGATTTTTCTGCTGATATTTATTAAGTATAAAATTTGGTATAGTTTGTATTAAATGTGGAATTGGCGGATTAAATAATATTAATTAAGATAAATTAAAGGGATGAGTGGTTTTGTTTCATTAACTATCCACCAAATTCTTCCGTCGCCTCTCACTATTTCCATACTTTACGTTTTCCTTTGCAACTCTCCAACTCTCTACCAATTTGTCTCTTTAATAGAAATCTCCGCTAAACAAAAAGTAATAAAAGCCAAAGAAAAAAAAGTATCCATTTGTATTTATAACATAATTTAAATTAAAAAAAAAAAGAGGGATAAAACTAACCATTTCAAGCCAACTTAATAGTCACTCATTGCTTTTTTTAATCCAACTCATAATCTTTTAGTTGGAGACACAATTAACATTGTTATTTGTAACTAATTAATTAAGATATATATCTCGCACCAAAAAATCGTGGGTTCTAATTTTTACATTTTATGTTGTACTAAAAATGTCGAAACTTTGTAACGTTGTATTTTTAAATTTTATATATATATATATATATATTTATTTATTTATTTATGTTGCGTATATTTTTTATTCTTCGTCCGTCCGGCCGTCCCTATATAACACATAAAGAATAATATTATTCTCTCTATATACATATATTTAAAAAAAATCACATCTAATATATAGAGGAGAATTAGACTATAATAAAGTTTTATCATTGAAAATTAAACAATTAATTAAGAAAATTTATAGGAAAAATACTTAATTGAGAAATAATTTTAAAAATAAAAAAAATAAATGGGAAAAATGGACTGTGCAAAATCTGATCCCTAAATTTCCCGTAGAGAATCCCCACCTGCTGATCCTTGCAAAATTTCATGGGAAATTTTCTATTCCCGCCCATGAACATCCTTAATGATAACAAATGTCTTATCATGTTCGAATTTGACCTATAGTTTCCGTCATCCCCAAACTCAAAAGCGTATTTTTTTCCCTTAATTTCAACAATTAAAAAAGTGAGAGATCAAATAATCAAGCTTTAGATGATAATATCCAAATATTTGCTCTCTTTCTTGGTGTATGGTGTATAAATATGGGATACGAATGAACCAAAATTTTGTCACTCTCTCACTGAGGAAGCAAACAAAATGAGGTGGTTGGTTTGGGGAGTGCTGTTGGTCCTCCTCGGTGGCCATTCGTCTTCATCGTCTCCGGCGCCGGCGCCGGCGGCCTTCGTCGGAATCGGAGACGGCCATTTTCAGTTGAACGGTTCTCCATTTGTGTTCAATGGATTCAACTCTTATTGGATGATGTCCGTCGGAGCTGACCCAAACCAACGCCGGAAAGTCTCCGATGCCTTTCGCGACGCTGCCGCCGCCGGCCTTACCGTCTGCCGGACTTGGGCCTTCGCCGACGGCGGCTATCACGCCCTCCAAATCTCTCCCGGCGTTTACGATGAATCGGTTTTTCAGGTTTTTCCTTTTTTTTTTCCTTTTCTTTTTCCTCTTTTAATCATATTAGAATTTTAAATATGTAATTTCATCATTTCACGTCCAACTTCTGTATTAATATTTTTAATAATTTTTTTAACACTTTTTTTATTAATACATTTGCTCTTTCAACTTTTCCATGTTGTGCTTATTTTATTAAATTCTCCTCCTTAACTTTTAAGATTTATCGTATTTTATTCGTATACTTCAAAAGTTTCTTAATTTTAATAATGGGTTTACTATTTTTTATAGTACAATATATTGGGATATAAGAATTTGAATCTCTGACCTCAAGAAATTATTAGTAGTGTCTGTTGAGCTATGTTCATATTGACGTGTCTAGTATTTCTTTGTGAATTTCGTCGGTTTAACATTTATAATCTTTATGTTGATTACCTTGTATTATAGTTTTAATTATTACATTGTGAGATGATTCCAAATCAGTAGTTCGGATATTTGGTTGCATATATATGTAATTAAATTGACGAAGCTATAAAGACAAGAAAATTGAAATCCAAGACCTATCATAATTTTTTGGGAAATTATACTAAATGACATAATTAATATATATATAATTACTTTTATTTTTATTTTAAAATATGTCACAGAAATGATTTTTGGTTGGTCTATGTGATTATATGTTTTGTCATTTATATCATTTTTATAAAATTTTAAACTTCTATATATAAAAATACATATTCCATATTATTTTTGTTTTTTTAAGATACATGAACTAAATAGATTCAATTTGGGTTGATTATATGTTTTGTCATTTATATGATTTTTGTAAAATTTTAAACTTCAATATATAAAAATACATATTCCGTGTTATTTTTGATTTTTTTAGGTACATGAACTAAGTAGATTCAATGTCAAAGTTAAAGATTTATTAAATTTTTTTGTTTTTAAAATAATAGAGATTGAATATTTATTAAATTTTTTTGTTTTTAAAATAATAGAGATTGAATAGATATAATCATAACTGAGATGTCTTAATATTTTAATATTTTAACATTTTTAATTTTATCTATTTTTCGTATAAAAAAATTTCAGGCGTTTATTTTTCGTTGAAACCCTAGGATTTCAAAACGTTTTCGGAATAAATTAGAACAGAAAGAAAGCAATTAATAAGTAAACATGATTTTTAAAAATTTGAAATACTAAAAATAAAAACATTATCAAAGAGCTCTTATTTTTATGAAATAAAATAAAATAAAAGTTTAAATTCTATTTTAGTTTATAGTTTTATATTTTGTCCCTAAATTTTTAAATATTTTGTGTTAACTTTCATAATTTTTTCTTTTAATCTCTTGACATTCAATTCTTTTATTTTTTATCTTTGAACTTTGCTTTTAAAAAGTACTACTTTAGTCCCTACCACTAATTTTCATTAATCGTTTAATAATAAACTAGACACAGTCTATTACACATATGTTTTAAACATTCGTCCACGTAAATATCTATCGATCAAGTATATGCACAAAAAATGTGACAATATCATATTTCAGTTAAATATTAATTTATTAAAATATTAACAATTAATAATAAAATAGTTTTTTAATTAAAAGTTTAATAAGACAAAACATTACTAATCTATATAATCAACAATTACCTTCACCTGCTATTGCGAGTATAACTTAATGGTAATTGACATATATCTCAAATCAAGAGGTGTGAGTTCAATCTCCCACACCCCACATATTGTACTAAAAAAATATGTCACCTTCACCCCGATTTGAACTCAAAAAAATTAAATATTTAAAAGTGGAAGAATAGAAAATGTTAAATATATGAAATGATACTTAATTTTTTCAATAATTCTCCATTTGATTCTCAATAATTTAAAATTCTCAAATTTACCTTTAATGTATGAAAATTCTCAATTAGGCCATTCCATTATTTTTTTTTAACTTGTTAACAAAAATTTAATGATTTATTGTTTTATTAACATATTTGGACACATAAATATATTACTTGAGTGTCATTTGACACATGAAGTCCAACTTTCTCCTCAACAAAACTATATTCTTTGAACTCACTTGTCAGGTTAACAAAATAATAAATCTAATGTCGTATCAAGTTTTCGTAAATAGATTTTAACATATTTTTCAATGAAATAACTCCATTGAGAATTCATAATGCAAGTAAAATTGAGGAGAAAAAATTTTCTAAATTTTGATAAGAGTTATTGAAGGCTTAATTCCATTGAAATTAGTAAGTTTTTTGATATCTTTACCTTACCTTTTGGGTGAATTAGCAAAAATGAAAGTTCTCTTTTTTTTTTCTCTCTTTTTTAAGAACTGAAAATAAAGATTAAAAATCAAAACCGCCGTCGCTTTGATCAGGCTCTTGATTTTGTGATATGGGAGGCAAGAAAATACGGAATTTGGATAATATTGAGTTTGGTGAATAATTACGGCGACTACGGCGGAAGGCCGCAGTACGTCCGGTGGGCCCGGGCTGCCGGCGCTCAAATTCACAACGACGATGACTTCTATACAAATCAACTCATCAAGGGTTTCTACACGGGCCACGTCGAGGTAATCCCGTCTTTTAATTTCTATTTTGGTTTCTAAACTCTTAGAGTAAATTACATATTTTGAATATTGAGTTTGTTATTTAGTCTCTAAATTTTATAATGTTTCAATTCCGTTTGTAGAAAATTTTGAATCGGACTTATCTTTTGTCTCTACCGTCAATAATGGTTTGATAATTGGGTGGGTGTGACACTCGATCGAGTAATTAGTTTCATGGATTAGAAATTAATGGACAGAGATAGATGTTTGGTTATTGATTTAGCAAATAACTGAGTTGAGTTGTATTTCACTCCTAACCACAACTTATCTGCTAATTTTCCAACATCATTAGTCAATTTGGTTATCCACTTAGTATCACCCAATCTTCATCCTGGTCATAGATAAGTCACCCAAATTCAAGTTTATAAGCAAAGAGTGCCAATTGGCCTCATGAAGATTCAATTTCACTGTGGCTAAGTCATTGTTTATGAGTCGTCAATTATTCTTCAACAAACATGTAGTCAGAGGTCCTGGTCTCCTCCTACTATTTAGAAGTGCTTACGGTTTCATGTTCATCGGCATGTAGGTCCTAAGAAAAGGTTTAGAATAATCAATTCGGTGATTCTATCAACCAATGTTGTTCATATCATGTATTAAAGATAAGTATGATTCTCCGAGTACCACTTAAAAAAATTATACCTTCCTTTTACAATCAGCAAAATAGGTAAGTTTGATTTATTAATTATTTCTAATCTAAGATCAACCTATCACTCCCATAGATTGTTAAGATTAATTTGAATATAGCTCAGCAAGTTAAGATATTTATATCTGACTAAAAAGTCGTGAGTTCGAATTGATGTTGTACTTAAAAAAACATAGATCGTTAAATTGTTGCTTTTAAAATTTTGCAGAAAGTGTTGACAAGGAAGAACACAATGAGCGGCTTAAGGTATATGGATGATCCCACGATTATGGGATGGGAACTCATGAACGAACCACGTTGTGAAGTTGATTCCTCTGGCGCCACTGTTAATGTGAGCCCTACCATTTTATTATATATTTATTGCATCATCATTTTATTTTTAATTACCGTCATATTATACTTTCAGTCCATCATTTTTTCATTGAGCGAAAGGTACGAAATAAATCAGATTGATTTTTCGATCAAAAGTACTATGTGAAATCTTCGTTTTTGTCCTCTTTCTCTATCCCTATCTCGCAGGTACAGTGTTTGAATCAATAGAGAACCTTTTGTTCTGTATCTGTATGAATCGCATTATTGCATTCCAATTCCTTCCCGATACCTCCCAAGGAAAATTCCAAATTGGATCCAAAATTGACGGGTTAGTGTGGTTTGGACTTTGATTTATTTTGGTTCCTTTCCTAAGTTTCCAAAACTAACACTATTGCTCCAGAAAACTCGAATTTAGTTTTCATTTAGTCCCTCGTATTTTAAAATGATACTTTTGGTCTTTGAGGTTTGGATTTAATTTCTATTTAGTCCCTCCAATTTCAGAAATGACATTTTTTGTTTTTCACATTTGGATTTTATTTTTAGTTGGTCTTTGAAGTTTCAAAAGCAACACTTTTAGTCCTTAGAGTTCGGATTTTAATTTCTATTTAGTCTCCAACCCTAAGTTAAGTTAACAGATAGATGACGTGACAATTTACTTCTTCCTGGAGGTCTTCGATTGGTTGAGAACGTCGACATACCCATTAACAGTGACATGGGTGGTCATCAATAGTCCACTTCAACATGATATCTACTGCATCGTCATTTTTCTAAGTAAACTAATGACAAACTCAATTCAAGGACTATATAAAAATCAAATCCAAACCTCAAAAGACCAAATAAAAGCAAAATTTAAACCTTAGAAACTAAAAGTTTAAGTGTAAAAACTTCCAAGATCAAATACAATCTAAATTCAAACTTTGGTAACATATATGCACCATTAATTACTATTTGGTTAGTATATTGACTAGTACAACCAATGTCTGATTGAAATCAATCCACTATTGACTATATCCAATACGAGTCAAATTTTAACTTATATCAATTACTTGAATGATCAATGTTTTAGCTTCTCTATATCAATATTCACGGAGTTTCATCTCAGAACCAATTGACAATGAGAGAAATAACCCACTTATATTATAAATTCTGGTTAGATCCCTTAACGTAGTATCCTTAACATGACCCCTCGAAATGGTGCCTCCACCAATCTTGGTCAGATCTCATTTTCAGATTGGATACTCGTTTGAACTTTTGAGCTCTGAATAAACCGCTACTCAACCAAAAAACTTAAGTTGGTGGATTTGATAAATTCAATTCATATTTTAATATCTAACCTTCTCTAATTTGAGCGTGTTTGTGATGTGATAGAGATGGGTGGAAGAAATGGGAACTTATGTGAAGTCAATTGACAAAAAACATTTGGTGGGCATTGGAATGGAAGGATTCTATGGAGATTCAAACCCAAGTAGAATCAAATTCAACCCAAATGGTTACAAAGTTGGCACTGATTTTGTGACCAACAATCTCATCAAAGTTATAGACTTTGCAACAATACATGCATATCCTGATTCTTGGTCAGTCCTTTCATTCTCTCTCTATATTTCTCCCTCTAAATTCTAATTTCTAATCACCTATTTGATCATTATTTTGTTTTTAAAAGTTGTGAAATGCTAATTATATTTCTTTGTTTTGAAATCTACACATTTTCCAGGTTTATTTAATAACAACTTGAGTTCTTATCCCAAAAAAAAAAAAAAAATTGTGTTTCAGGCTTTTGATTTGTGAAAATAAAATCATATTTACCAATATAATTATATATTCTTAAATTATATTCTAAAAACAAAAACCTCATTTGATATTTGATATTTGATAACAATTATATTCTTAAATTTTCTATTTTATTATAAAGAATAAGCTCAAGTCATTTACTTGAACACTTTCGAATGAAATCGTAGTTTTTAGCCCAATTTCAAAAATTGAAACACAAACTTGTGATTTTATGTATTATTTCTTTTCGAGTTCTCAACATCTAGCTAAGAGAAAATTTAGTATAATCATTGAAAATAGAAAGCCGAAACATTATCAAGCCCAGAATAGAAAAATTACTATCAAACGGGACCTTCAAAATCGACCCTTGAAAAAGAAAGCATTGTAATTTGTTCTCCATTTTCACAGGCTACCAGGACAGAGTGAGGCAACCAAAATGGCATTCTTGGAGGAGTGGATGAAAATTCACTGGTCAGACTCAAAGACAATCTTAAAGAAGCCATTGATTTTTGCAGAATTTGGAAAGTCAACCAAAAACCAAAACCAAAACCAGGCATTCAGTGTAAGAGACAGAGATTCATTCCTCACTAAGGTTTATTCAAACATCTACAACCTTGCAAGAAATGGGACAACCATGGCTGGAGGTTTGGTCTGGCAAGTTATGGCTGAAGGAATGGAGTCATACTACGATGGATACGAGATCGTTCTTTCCCAGAATCCTTTGACAACCGCCATTATAATGCAACAATCAAAAAACATGGCTGCCCTTCAACATTAACACTCATCACCCCCTCAACACAACAAAAGATAGTAAAAACTTGCTCATACTGTAATAAGAAACCATGGACATGTTGTGCAGAAAGGGCTGATGTGAAAAATGTCGTGAATCTAATGATAAATTTAGAGGATGGTTTATGGGTTCTCTAAGTATTGGAATGTAATTACTTATCTAAAAAGGATAGTTTAGGTTGAATCTAAATCAACCCAAGCTTATTAGTTGGAAAATAAAAGTATTTTGTTGTCAGTGGTATAACCATTTCTGCATGTCTTCTTCAAGTATGTGGCTTAATTACACTTTCTTCTGAATAAGGAAGAGGGTTGGTACTCGAAAATATAATATAAAAATAATTTAAAATGTCAATCAGGTCCCACATCATTAAAAATCATCAACATCTTTTCCACATCAACAGGGACTAAAAAGTAAAAGCTAGATATTCAATAATTGCCATACCATAGTGTGGATAATGTATAGTAACAGAGCATTCTCGGAGATCAAGGAATTCACCTTGTATTATTACTATCTAATGTATTGTGTCTATAATTTTAATTTTTTTGGATGACTACGAGTCGGAGCTTCATTCTCCTATTATACCCAAGGGCGCCCGCGTCTGGACACAAGAGACATCAAGGATTATTGGTATTAAGTTCACTGAAAGGTTCGAACTTTAGACCTCTAAGCCGGTATGACTAAGAGACCCCAAGTCCTTGCCAACAGGACTGACTCTTGAGGGCAAGCCTATAATTAAAGGTACTAAGGTTTAAAATGACAGCAGAAAAGTATATTGTGTACAAATATAAACAATTCTTTGCACAAACAATTTTTTTTTTTTACGAAAAAAGAAAAGAATAACTCAAGATGTTTACATTCTTGAAGCATTGTGCAGACATGTGAATTATACTCTAGGAGAATCAATTTGAACTTCCTTTATTGTCTTTAAAAGCTAGTCACAAACTGGGAGTGGGACTATATATGGAGAATACAACACTTACGAGGCATAAAAATTTCCAATATAAACTAGTTCAACTTTTGACTATAAACAGAAAAATTGCATTTACCAAAAATCAGCTACAGGCATAACACAACAATCGTTTTAATATTGACTCGCATCCCCAACTTATGCTTTACATGCAAGGGTCAAAAAAATATACTCTCATACCTGATATGCATTTCGTTAAATCCATCTCAGTGTGCCACAAGATGAAAAATCTACAAGAGGCAATCTGCATCTTCCAAATATTTCTGATCAACGTAGAATCCATCCACCCTCTACAGCAAATCCATAAGGGGAGTTTGTCCAGATGACGATTTGTTATGAGTAGAACGAGATGACGATGAACCCCCCCGCCCTCTTCCTCTTCCTCTACCAATAGTAGTCGACGGGGGAGGGGCAAGTCTGGGTGCAATATGATCATTCTTACTTGGCGCAAATATGGATCCAAGATCAGTGAATTTCTTGTCGGCATCAGAAGTATTTTGAGATGATATTCCCTGATTTTGCTTCTGAAAACCAATAGAATTTTGGGAAGTGATGCCCCCACTCCCCAGATTGCTTGAATTGAAAGCCGAAATTCCATGATTTTGTCTCATTGGTTCAGTTGTATTTTGGTTGTTGAGGGTCCAACTGGTATTGCTGTTTGTTGGAAAGTTCAAACTGTTCTGTGTACTCAAAGATGAACCAGTTCCATATTTGTTCACGGATGGTCCTCCAACCATTCCATTGTTGGAAGTTCCTGAAGCACCTCCTAATGAGCCACTAGGACGTGGAGGCCAATCAGCAAAAGGGTCCGTGTCATCCAAGCTGGAAGTTGACGATGATCCGGTAGTTGCTTGCATCCCAGAATCAGCTATTCTGGGTGCACCACCAGTAGAGTTCCGAGGAGGCCACTCAATATCTACTGGAAGGCAGGACGCAACAGTTTGTGGATTAGACACAGATGTAGTCACGACAGAATTTGTTTGTATAGAGTTTCCTGCCATAGACTGACCACCAAGAACGGCAGGAGCAGATGAGAAATTGGTAGTAGAGTTTTGAGGGGGTGTTGGCCCCTTCGTAGAATTTTGTGGGAGCGTTGGTCCCTTGGAAGTAGGGCCCCAATCTTCATCCCAAGCAGGTCGATTCTTTATTGCTGCTCCGACGGTATCACTTGTTCTGCTTGATGATTGGGACTGTGGCCCATTAGATTTCATCTCCGGTACTCCAGAATCAGAAACAGTGACTCCCTTTTTCTCTTCTATCTTCCTGTGATGGAAAAATATTGTTAGAATAAAAGATATATTGCTAAGAGTAACCTCCCCAAAAATGAGGCCACATGCATGTGTATGCCCTCAATCATGCGCAAAGATTTGTGGTGCTTAACAATATTACCTGAGAATGTCCTTGACAAAAAGCATATACTTAGCAAATTGCTGAACATTTAATTGTTGGGCTGTAAGAAGAGGTGTGAGTAAAGGAAGAACGTGCTCCGCAACAAATTCGACTCCATACTGAACAAAATGAGTTTGTCAGAAGGTAAATTAGTTCAAGTACCGCACAAAAATCTTCTGCAACAGTATCCTTGTAAACAAGAAGTTGGCTTATATATGGTTAGTACCTGCTTAAGGATTGAGTTTGCAACCCCAAGGGTACACATGAGAGTAGGAGCAGAACGGTCAACAGCAGTACAACGTTGAATTGTTTGCAAGATTTCTAGAACGGCGTGTTTATCAAGCGTCTGAACTAATTCTCCAAAGCATAGCAAAGCATTGACTCTAACCTGTACATGGGATGAAAAGCCCAAAATGCCACTCAAATTTTTTTTGAACATTCAGTAGATAAGTGCCAATTCTTGTTGGGATAACATGCTGATGTACTAAAAACCAGTAACTAGACCTTACTCAAATTCTATATATATATAGGGGAAAACAAGAACGTGTGCATGCATGCACGTACTCAATAGTTTATAGAGAGGAAGAATGCTAATTTTTACCATTCCATAATCACATAATTAGACACTCACTACATCTGCAATTATGAAAACTGAAAAGCAATCAGAACGAATCAAGGACCTGTGGTAAGTTACTCATGTAAATCACATTATTACCATTCTCTCATGTTCACAAGGTCAACGATAAACAAAGGCTAACAGAAGAATGCCTTTAAAAGTGAACATGCATCAATCAATTGTAAAGAACTTTCTCTTCTTTTTCCTCTTTTTTTTTTCCTTTCTTTTTTTTGGTAGGAAATAATGAGCTTTCACTAAAGAGGGAAAAATTACAAAAAGGATGACAAGATGTCAACCAGCCAAACTGATAAACAAATTGAAAAGAACTTCGAAGAATGAAAAACCACTAAGAACTGAAAAAACATACATACCGCAGCAATTGTTGTCTTTAGAGCCAAACTGTGAACACGAGGCAAAATTGTTTGTTTCACTAACTGTAAGAACACGACAATTTAAGTAAATGTGAATGCAAGCCTGCATACCATAAGAAAGGTCAAAAACGAAATAACATTTGATAGTTCGAATTACATATCGACCACAACTATATAGACAGTACAGACTATTATGCTACCATAGTTAATCAAAATAATGAATTTCCTTGAAAGTGGTTTTCCTTTTGAATAAGAGAGTCCAATGTAATGTGGTTATAGATTCAAAAACAGGAAAAACTGCTCTAGGTGCAGATTTATGTGCAGTGCCCCGTGCGAAATTTGGCTTCAACATAGTAGCCAATTTCTAGACAATGAAGAGAGGACCGTGATCAAATCTAGGAAATGGCTCTTTTGTCTCCCACCTTGGTGTCTTAGATCCAATCTTCATTGTAATATTCATTGTATACTTTATGTACTAGTTGGAGATGTTTTGTATGACTCCAACGGTACCTTGGGCATCTCTTTTTGTAAATTTAGTATGTATAGATGTAATTGTATCTCATCTAAATAAGAAAGATTACAAGATCAAGGGAACAAGGGAACAAGGGATCTCTAAAACCAAAGCATTTAGAAAAACACACTCAAAAGAAAATCAGAAGATAAGGGGAAATTTGGACACGTTATGAAGAGCGTTGCTAACAAGTCCCCAGAGAAAAAAAAAAGGAAAAAGATTCCAAAAATTGCTACCTTATTATCATAATTCATAACAATTCTAATATTTGGTTTTTTGCAATATATCATACTTACCAAGCAAGCATCATAATTTAACAGAAGTACATTAGCAATTATTTCTAAGTCAAAAAAAGAAACCAAAAAAAAAACCTAAATCATCACATCATCCATTTGTGTGGGGTATATTTCTGAATGTATTTTGGACAGCTACTGGGGGGTCTCTCAAATTATCCTTAGTGTTTGTTTCTCTTGGATGAATATAATACTATTTCCTGTCTCATTTGGTACCAGTACGGTGAGGTTTCTAGAGAATGGTTGTGAACAAAGGGACGGAAACAAGATTGGATGCAATGGAAGAGAAAATCTGACGTGCAGAGTGCAGGAACATGGGCATTAGTGAGAAAATAGTGAAGAAGTTAGAAGGAATGCAGCATCAGGAGAGAGGTTCCGTACCGAAGGAGAAAATGAGGGAGGATCCCAGGAAGGCTCTAATGGAAATTTCAGCTCAGAGAATGATGAAGGAGAATCATTCTGATTTGCCTAATGTAAGATAGGAGCTGAAAGAAAAAATTTTCCATACTGTAGTGGTCGGCCGGCAGAAAGCTCATAAAGCTTCGCTTCCCTCCCCCAAGCTCCCCTAGTACTCAGCATTCGAAAAGCGACTTGTCAAGTCTCGAAGCTTTGCTTCTTGTAGTCGGCCCGTAATGCCTCCCTTCATTTGCTTGCCTCCTTCCAACTTAGAATGCCTAATGCCTATTTTATCTATTTCTAGAAGCTAACCCTTCCGATCTCGCTTCTAGCGCAGGGAACCAAGAATTCTGCCCCACGTCTCAGGCCTCGAAGCCCCAAAAGCCTTTGTTTTAGCATTGAGTAGTACTAAAATAGCTAATTTGACAAAGGTGAACTAGCATTGAGTAGTACTAAAATAGCTAATTTGACAAAGGTGAACAACTCCCTCTTCTTAATAGTCAGGGCCTCTCAAAAAAGTAAGGAGGCCTTAAGGCCGACCACTATATCATAGGTCTTCTGGTGGGAAGGCCGAAGACTCCACGGACTCTATACCAAGTCATGTAGGGAGAAAACTATTTTAGGGAGTGGCCAGTTCCCTATATTATGTGATCCATACCTTGAGGACAAGGTGTGTTTCTGGGCAGAGTAATGTTAGAGTATCAGTCAAGAAATAGTGAGAATATTATTAAGAATATTAGTGGTGGCATATTTGTAATTACTTAGAAGTTAGTTGTGTTGACGGTTATAAGTAGAGGGAGTTAGAGAGTTTAGGGGCAAGCAGTTTCTAAAAATAGTTTGTGGGAGTCCAGGCCTCTCAAAATGCTTGGAAAACTTATAATTTTCCTTTATATCCATACTATCTTATGTTAATTTGCTTTTTGATTTCTAGTTCCTATCATAACCATAAAAGAAAATTCTTTATACAATTCTTACCATCTGCCAGAGAAAGTACAAATAAACTCCTCCATCCCCCAAACCAACTCATAAAATAAATATCACTACTATACAAAAAATCAGTTCAACAAAATAGCCAAATTTCCTTTTTCTAAGAGAACAAATAAGTAGAACTTTAGAATTCATTTCAGAATTTGAAAACCAGGAAGCTGAACTTGTTGAGACAACAGAAAATGACCATTCATTGGAAGAGGTTTTGCAACAAAACAAAGACATCTTTCAAAGTAATTTACATGTAGTAACACTTATTTGATGCATTTGTAGGCTAGCTTTCCCAATTTCATGAAAAGGAAAGGGGTTTGAGGGGAGAAACTAGAAAGATAACATAAACACAAGATATGAAGCTCTCACCTGTGTATCAAGTTGCTTAGCAAGGGAAACTGATTTTCTCAGAACTTCCTCTTGTATGCGAGCATCATTATCATCATAAGCCCGAACAATCAATGGAAGGACATTTGTTACTAATTGTTCCTGATTGGTCTACAAAAATGACAGAATGGTTAACGAGTAAACTTCCCCTAGGACATGCTGTCAAATAGGATTGAAAAAAAAAGGAGAAGAAAGAAATATATATATATAATATATATATATATTGAAGGCTGAGGAACAAGCCACACTCAATAAATGTATTCAAGTGTCCACAATGACAAACAAATTCAAATTAACATTTTCATGATTAAATTGTATAGAATTGTTGTAAGTTCTGATAAGATACCAAGATTTCTTAAACACTGAGATTTAGTAATGAAATCATGTATGGTCCCACCATGACCAACATCAGTTTCTCTTGCACTTTTCCTTTCAGCAACATCATGTGTGGCAACGAGATTCCTACAACCAAATTAAGTGCAATGCAACAACCTCCAGCACACCATCAGCCCTTCGCCACCATTGTTCTCTCTTGCTAACTCACCGTCGTCATTCATGAGAATATTTCTCCTTGCATCTAAAACACAATCCTTTCTTCCTCATAGTTTTTATTATGTGTTTTTGTGCCTTCCAAACCTATCGTGTCACTTTTCTGCCCCGAAAACAAGGAATATTTTTAAAATATTTGGGTTAGTTTAGGTGAAAGGCTAGGCTCAAATGAGTTCCCCCCTCCTCAGCCAAGGGCTGCTTTCATGATATTTTCCAAGCCCACCAATTTCAAAACTTGGAGCTTCCTGTTCACCTTTGCCTTCATGCCATTCATGAAGTTCCTTCTAACACGAAGTCTAGAACACCCAATAATGGGGCAACAAACACCGCAAATTGCTTGATATACTCTCACACAGTTCTCGACAAAGTGAAAGGGTTGAAAATCGTTCATACATGGAGCCCCTCCCATGTAGACGGGAATAATGTAATCAACGCCTACTAAAATTCCTCCCACAATGTGCCAGGTCTCTTCTCCATCCATCAGAATCAAGCTAACACTTTGCTTGGCCTGTCATGCACAGAGTTTGGAAAAACACTCCATCTAAAATGTTATCCATGAGGATCACTGCCTTCAAAGATTGGCAATGCCAACTTCCTCAATGAGCACTTCAAAGTAGTCCTTTCTTCTACTAATCTTTTACTTCACTAAACTACCATGATTTCCTTGTCTGTTAATTCCTTTACCGCCCTGTATAAATAAATTGTCATTCAATTAACGTCTCTAATTTTTTATTTTCTTCAATAATTGGTAACTCCCACTAGATGACAATACTCCTCATTCCAGTGCAAGAATTTTCTGCATATCCTCTGCTGCTACAACAAGATGGCAACACTCCGTTCCATTCTGTTCTCCAGATCTTTCCTTTTGGCATACCCAAGACAAAGATCTAATACCAATCGATGTGATAATTAGCAAACAGAAAGAGTTTTCTGCTGATTAAGAAATAAGGAAGACAGTGAATATAAAATTCCCAGACTATTCGAGAAGCCTGAGCTTGCTCTGGTCACAACTCAGATGCCCTCTACCCCTTACATCATCAAATGCATGTATCATAACTAACTTACTCATAAAGGGCCCAACACCATATTATAAACAGATGTGGAACTAGAGCAACACGTATAATTAGTTACATTTTATCTTGTAAATCAACCAACAAAATAAAGAATCACCACACAAGAAGCATAATTACTTGATTTTACCTTGTTAATTATAAGATCGGCGTGCTTCACAAGCAGCAACATTGTGTCACCTGCAGCAGTACTCAGGACGGGAACAAGAGATGGCAAAGTTGATAGCTCAAAATCATGTTTATCCTGCAAGCTTCAACAAATTAATCTTATATTCCAAGAATATAATCCCACAAAACTAAATGGTAGGTAAATGCACAGTGGAAGACATCAAAGATAAAACAAATCGTAATTTACTATTAGAACATACGGGAATAAACCCTCCAGTGGATAAAAATAAGGACCTTTGATTAAAGAGGTTCATTAACCCTCGTCTCACACTTAGTACCTATAATTTATATATAGAAAGCATTTTTTTGTAAAGCTCCTTGATGTGGGGGTATACTTTTCCTTTTTGTACATTTCATCCCTTAAAAGAAAAAATCTGTTCTTTCAAAGCAAGAGGAAAGCATCAATAAAGGATAGAAACTGACAATCACAATATGCCAGTCAACCAAATATCCCTTCCTCTCTCGTGCTGATCAATGAAATATCTCTATTTTTGCCTCTGCTTGTTTGGTTCGGTTCTCCCAAACATTCAGCTTATCTTGGGTTTGGGACCTTGAGGTTCCTTCAAACATTCAGCAATTACTTTGTGGTTTAAGGTTCCAACCTAAAGCTCATATTCTATGGGTAAATAGTTTCAAGGCACTCATTTCAAAATTGTGGTTTGAAAGAATCAAAGGTTTTTAAAGGAAACCGAAGATCTTACATGGATTGCTTCAACATCGCCAAGTTCAAAGCCTCGCAATGGTGTGCAATGGTGTGCTCTTCCTGATGTACTTTCCAATTATTCGCCTAGTATGATTTGTATGGATTGGGAGGCTTTTATAACTCCAAGCGAGCTATGACTCTTATACTTTCATTACCATTTTATATGTTTTACTTTTCTTTTTCCTTTTCGCTCCTTTTGGAGTTTGTATATTTGAACAATTTTGTTCCTTTACATCTATGAAGTATCTTGTTCTAGATTCAAGTCACTTGATTTCCCGGAAATTTGATAAAAGATCAATCTCCAGAAATCAATCTACAGAAAATCTCAACTCCTTGCTAGCTCTTACAGTTTAACATACCTATGACGTAGGACCCGAAAGTAACAGAGCCAAAAAAGAAAAAAACAGGAAAGAAAACTAGACGATCTTAAAAAAAGGACCAACAAATACATACAAATATGTATCTGCCTTCTTATCCAAAAAAATATATATACACACATTTTTAGGGAACAAATTAGGAAATGCCATCTTTTATTTCTATATAAAACCAAACACCATGCATTACCAAGTCCAGATACAAGGAAGAAAACTGAACAATCTTAAAAGAAACCAACACAAATAATGCGTGTACAAATATGTGTGTGTGTATGTATATCAGTATATGTAAGTATAAATATTGGGACAAATTAAGGTATGCCACCTTTTTATTAATATTTAGAACCAAACACCAACCAACTTCATATTATTAGTAAAACTGCAGTATGCTAAATCTCATTAAAATAAAATAAAATAAAAAGAAGATATATATATAGAGAGAGAGAGAGAGAGATAAATGGAATCAGACATGGAAAACTTCAACGTAGACTTTTGCATGGAACCTTAGTAAGATAAATAAATGATTAAAAAAACATGAAACCATGGAGGTCTATACCTGAGACTCTGCTATTGTGAGAACCATGGGAAGAATCATAGGTTGCATAACCAGATTCCGTAATTCTGCACAAAGAGGTGGCAGTACCTGCAGAAGACATAAAGATAACCTCATTGGGAGATCAAATATTTCATGAATATTACTTTTCTAGATGTCATATATATTAGTTGGGCAAGCGCAAGACTATTAGTAAACTCCTCATCTAATAAATGTCTACGGCCATTTGATGAACTTATTAATTCTTATCATGTAAATTAATTGGAAGTAAAGCCGATATAACTTGTAACTGTGAATCACACCACCATCTAAAGAACACAAGAGTGTGTTGCTGGAAATTGCATTTTAAAGTGTAATCAAATAATTCAACCTATGAAAAAGGCAAAACAAAACGGGGGGATAACAGTTACACTCGGTTAGTTGTTTATCACTTGGTTTCCAAATTCTGATGTCTTCTTTGGTAAGGCATCTTTTCTTTGTAAAATAGTGTATTTGGTTCGCCCTCATGTAGTACCATCCATAAGGAGTTTTTCCGACTATAGTTTGTCTTTTATTTCTACCAACTGGAGAAGTGTATTATAAATCCTTCGTTCTATTCTAATTGGGTGAGTGTTCGGACTATCTTACACGTATTAAACAAATGAGGACAACCACTTTAATCCTATAAAATTTGGTGTTAGAGAGTTGGATAGGTTACAGTTACACGCTATAAATCCATGACCCCAAACAAATGGTTTCTGGCATGTTGCATGTCCCTTTGACCACTAGGTCAACTACCAGTGGTTTAGCTTTAGCTTTTCTTCTATCACCTTACTATTAGTCAATCAATGAAATTTTGTGTCTAATAAAAGAAAGCCACAAAAAATTACAATTTAAAATCAGAAAGCATCACAATAGCCAGAAAATTCATAGACAAATAGGCCATGAGAAACTCAAACCTTATAGCGCAATATACGGGAATCAAAATCTTTCCACATATCAGATAGAGCTTTCAAGAAGTCAGACTTTTGCATATTATCTCTTTCCTGAAAAGTATCAATGATAAATAAATATTTTCAATTTCAACTATCCTTCCATTGTAAGTAACTGCTTTAAATAACACATCAGAAAGACACATATCGGTAAAACTGAAATGGAAACAATTAATTACAAGCATGTGGTCAAGAAAGCGAAGAGCACGCAGCCTTGTGTCATCTCGGAAAAATGGGGAACCTGCAAGAAAATCAGATGATGTTGATATGAACTGACTACAAACAGCTCAAACAATTGAGAAATAAACATAATGTGGTGTTGAGCTTCCATTGGTTTACTTGGGAGCATTGGGAAAAAGAAAGAGGGGGGAAGGGGGAGGGAGAGATGTAGGAAATCTCCTTGAAGACTTTTGATCGATGGAACCATCAACCAGCCATCATGTAAAGGCTCCAGGTATTTCCATTAAGAGTATGGCTGACTAAACCTATCAAAACTGCTAATAACAACAGATAATTTATCAAATATGATGGTTCCATTTTTTTTTCCTTTTGAAAAAATATGGAATGTAGTGGAACATAAGGGTCTAGAATTTAGAATACAACACGTGACATAATAAAAATTAAAAGCCAATCCAAATTGCAAATTCATCATAATCACGTAATTTATACAATCCTTTCTATCTTCCAACTTCCATGTACAGTATCAAATATTCAACGTTACAAATTGTATGTATCATTTAGATTTGAATTTCAAATTGTATTACCTGTGAACTCCAGTGCTGTTGGCCGGAAAGACTCATTTGATGAGAGCATTCTTTGCAAGTCAGGAACTAACTCCGGTGGAATGGAAGAAAACGACTCAGTCGACATGTAAGTTAAGGAATTCATGTACTATTGGGGAAGTGGGAAGGAACAGAAAGAAAAATAACAGGAATTAGGAACTTGGATGACAGACATGAATTACAAGAATATTTGAGCCAATTCCCTTTCATTTTCGTAAAACATTTTTTCCAACAGGTATTTTTATCCTCAGTCTATACCTATATTACTGAAAAGATTCAGATATAGATAACAGATAACTCCATAATTACCACTTAGTACAAAAATAAATCTTTAGTGCACCATTTATACATTGTTATAACTTATCAGAAAAGCTGATATACGTACAAAACCAACCAATATATGGCAGCATTATCAAGCTTCTTGCATCATAATACAAATTGTGGTTTGTATACATATTACATAATTCAGCATTTATCATTTCAACTTCACTTAAGTTGAAAAGACTGGATAGTTCTCTTATGCCCCCTGCATAGGGCTAAAACGTAATAATAGTACAGTAGCACAGTTGAGGACGATAGAAGCAAACCTTTATAATAGCATGCTAATTTCCAGCGCATACTATTACTTAATCACTTTACGAGTTTTATGACCAAGAATCTTAATGTAATCACTCATAGACCTCCACACTTACGGGCGCATCAATAGAGGCTCAATGGTGTAGGCTGAAAAGATCCAGCATATAGGTTTTTTACTTTTGGGCCCAAATGTTTAACTCATTTACTGGTTCAACCAGACTCCATTAAACATGGGCTTCATTTGCACATTTCAGATACAGTAAGTAACAAAATACAATATAGTATAGTATATTTGCTACATCACTCGATAACATATATACGCTACAGGGCTAATAGCTGGAACTTTCAGTGCCATCTCAAAAAGTTACAGTTGAATTCCAAACATCTGCATGTTTTTGGGAAAAACTAATTCATATTTTCCACGACCAGATAAAGGTCTTCCTAGCCTCAGGTAAAGAGAATGAAAAAATTTACTGGTTCTATAGGCCAATAACTCCACTTTAAAAGCATCAGCCATTTTTAATTAACAAAACTAAAAATAAGAGAGAGTTCATACTTAATTACTTCCGCTGTAGACCAAGAAGATGGCTTTTCCCAACATCAAGTCATTTAAGAAGACTCAAACTAATTGGAACATATGAAGAAAGACCAGAAAATAAGGATGTTCAGAAAATGAAAAATCAAAATTATCTGGACGGCACTTTCTCACTTATAAAAGATACAAGCAAGTAAGCAAAGTACATCATCAGGGAAGGTGATCGAGTTCAGAAAGAATGAGCTTGGAAATACCATTTTAACATTGTTGTGGCAGTCAAACAAAGGCTTTCTAGCAACCAAATGGTAAACGAGGCATCCAAAGCTGAAAACATCAGAGTAACATCCAGCCAAAGATGATTTGCTCCTAACCAATTCAGGAGCAGTGTAATTCAGAGATGGCTGAAGAGGCAGTACAGAATCTTCAACATCATACTCCTGTGCAATTCAATAAAATAAAACATAGGAGCCTCAATTAGTCTTAGTAATGATGATACTAAATTCATGTCCTAATATTGAATCAACTAAATCTTTATAAAGAGGGGTAAATTATAGGAAGATGGCCAGCTTGCAGATTAACTCAAAGGATAAAGCTGCACACTGTATTCACAGATATTAATCACACTAACAAGGCTGTTAAATTTATGTCTAAACTGTAGGCTGTAGCATGACAATGACACAAGGACTGACAATTCATATAAAATATTTTATCTCCTTTTCAAAAGATCTCAACTGAACTGAAAAGAGCATCAACCAACAATTGGTTTGTGTTAGATATCCTATAAATGATTAACTTTACCCTAACTCATTAGCTTAAACTTTTAGGTTCATTGGTAATTTAATATGTTTAACGTGGTACTAGATTAGGAGGTCCTGTGTTCGAACCCCTATATTGTCATTTCCTCCCCCTTTAATATTGATTTCCACCCTATTTAATATTGATTTCCACCTCTTGGCCTTGTACAAATTTTCAAGCCCATAAGTGAGGGAGAGTGTTAAATATCCTATAAATGATTAAATTTACCCTAACCCATTAGCTTAAGTTCTTGGGTTCGTTGATGATTTAACATGTTTAACAACTTGTTTCCCTTATTTTTATTTTACAACATTAAAAAGTTATCAAGAAACCAGTGGATATCAAACTCACAGCATAATGGAAACCCTGCATGGTAGCCATGTCACCCGAGGTCTGATCAGCTGGAATTGCAAAGCCAAATCCAGCAAGTTTCCAAGCTCCATTTGATGTGATGAGAACATTCTGCAAAGTCAAAATTCTCAGAAACTTCAAGAGAAGGAGAGAGAATAATATTGAATGCAGCTTGCATGCTTATGGATCTGAAACCAATACAATAGCAGCAACAAGTCTGGCTGATTTGATACTTGTCTAAGATGGGGGCTTTTTCTGTAATCTTCTTCGTTATTTTGGAGAGGAGATTTTTTTCTACTATAGTAGGAGGTTCGTATCATTGAACACTTGTAACATTTCAATTCTTAATGAAGCAAAAAACAACTTCACATAATCTCAAATTTTTTACAACAGAGATTGAAGCTACCAAGAAAAACTAGGTACTACAAAAAGAAGGAATTGTTTATTAAATCACATCTTCAACCAATTATCTTAGTCTTTTCCAAAGCAAAAGCTGAAAGAAATTGATACCTCAGGAGATATAGCTCGGTGAATGAGATGCGCATTGCTATGAAGAAAGTTTAAAGACTCTGCAATCTGAAGCAAACCATGCTTTATTTCCAGTAATCCCATTTCCTGTGAGATATAGATGAAGGACAAGATGATCAGAGCAGAGAAGCCTTTAAGCAAGCTACGCGCGTCACATGATTAAATAAAGATCCAACCACATAGAAAATCATGCATATGCCACCATACAAGAAATTTATGTGGGAATTGACTTTCTCAATCAATGAAGGAAAGAGTCTATGGATAGAATAGAAGTTTCTCAATAATTAATTTAGTAGTAATACTAAAATCACTTTACATTTAAAACTCATTATTTATCCATAAACCATTTACATTTACAAATAACAATCCTACAAACCAAACACTTGCAACACTTACTTTTACAAGAGGATGAAGTAAATTTTACAAATAGCAAACCCACAAACCAAACACGAACTATACAAATCTAGACTTATGAACTTCATACTACACGACCCAGACTTGTTAAAACTGTGAGCTAAACATCCCTTCAAAGAAAGCAACTTAAAACCAAAAAAGTTAGTAAGCTTCCACCAAAAATGATAAAAGAAGCACAGAAGGAAAATATGTTCTAATCTACACTGGTTTTTTTATTGAAAATAATAATAATAAAATAAAACAAAATAAAAGAATATAGAAAAGGCAATACAAAAAAATGGAAAGCCCAAGACACCAGGAGTCAGAAAACAACAACTACCTACCTGCAAAACATTACATAAAAGGACAACAGTTACCAAGAAGGAGAGAAAGGAAATGCATAAAAATCCTTGGTTAAGGAAACCAAAGGAAAAGCATCTACATTGCTACATCTGCACAAAACATACCACCTTGGGTAGACACAGCTCAAATGATTACAGTTTTCAAACCTGCCACAACTATTAATACCTTTGAGGAGAAGAAACCACATGGAACCTCAAATTTCTTCAGCATTTAGTCTCCCAAGTCAGTTTGATCAAACAAAATGGGACCACCACTCCTTTTAAAGCATAAAGATGGTGAGAAAGAGACTTACATGAAAACTGCCCTCAATTTTCCATTAACCATACCCTAGAATCTTAGGAGAGTTAATAGACACAAAAAAAATCCCCACTTAAGACATACAGGCACAAATCCTGAACTTTTGTTTCATTGGTGTTTCTTCTAACCATAAGCATGCCTATAGATCCCTTATTCCAACAGTTCTGAATACTTTTGTCTTGCTTTCAGTGTCAGCAAAAGCAAAAAAGCCTGCATAACTCAAAGCACGGAGTGGAGGTATCAACTGAGATATAGTTCCAGAATCTTATGGCCAAATTATATCCAACGTTGACAAATGATCTTTTCATAATCAGTCCCTTGCAATTTTCAACAAAGTACCTCAAGCTTCCTGTAGCAGCTACAGAGGCAGTGAATGATTAATAAACCAAGGAGCTCTTTACCATACTAGAAAAGATCTTATGGCGTGGCCTGTAATGCTTCTCTTTCATTAAGAATCTCCAGAATCACTTATCCAACATATTCATTTTATTTTCTAATATAACTAAACCCAAGGCCAACAACGCATGGGAAGAGCAGCTCCATCTCTATTTCCCAGTGGATAATTGAATACAAACAAAGAAAAAGAAAAAAATCCCATAGAACATTCAATTACAAAAGGAAAAATTGTCCGGAAAGAAACCTAAGGACTTCTGAAACAAACCTAGATACTGCGCAACTTCTTCGTAAGCTCCATTATATTATGATGGTCTCTACTCTTCTTTATGCTTTTCACTTATCCATGAATGGTCGGGCTCTTATTTAAAAGGAAAATGAAAACAAATTTAATTTAATAAATGGAAATGGAACGAGACAAGCTTGTATACACATTCTCTTCGAAGTAAGGGCATCAAAATTGAAACTCATGAAGAAGTCGAAGATAAACATCAAGCTTAGTGATCAACTAACATCCACAAAAATTCAACAAGACAACTATTATATTTTGGAATTTACTAGATTTCCCAATATCACAACTGTAATACTGATAATTCATTTGAATATCGTAAGAGGCTCCTCAAACTCAATCGGGTTTAAAAATTACCACATTACTCGGTTTATCAAAATTGAAATAAAATTCGGCGAATTGTGGCTCTACATACCAAACCCTTTAGCTCCTTGGGAACCTTAGCAACGTTCTCCAGATTCCCTACAGCATTTGCCACCGACGCAAAGAGCGGCTCCGTCACCATTGCCATGGCATTCTTATTCTCATCCAACGCCTGCACCACGTGAACTACTCCGGG